GGGGGGGCAGCAGCGCCGCACAGGGAAGCGGCCAGGCCACCCGGGCCCTCCCTGCGACGGTGACCCAGGACGGAAGACACCCACCCATCTGCACAGCGAACCCTGAAGTCCTAACTTCTCCTTCCTCGGCTCCTGCTTTCCCAAGACAGCCCCCAGGCCACCCCTGCCACTTACGTGCTCCTTGTCGTCCATGTCCACGCCAAGGCTGCGCATCTCATCCTCCAGGACCTTGCGCTGCACCTGGAGGGGAAGCAAAGTGAGTCTGATGAAACAGTAAAAAGAATTCAAAGGAAAATGTACCTTTTACAACGATCTACCACACTTTTTTTAGAAATTCTCTCCTTTATTTGGGCTCATGTTCATGCTCCTGGACGGCTCGTGAATCCCACGGAAACGAACATTTCCTGGGCAACTGTCACGTGCAGGACGGCGTGCGTCTTGGCCTGGGGTCCTGCACAGCTCCCAGGGGACTCCCACACGCAGACCCCAGGCCAGCATCTCCTCCCCAGTGCACCGAGGCACACGGGGAGATACAACGATGGCCGCGCCTGGCACCGGCCACCACACAGACATGGTGGAAACGGAGGACGACACCGTTTCTCCTCCATGGAGAGGTGCCCAGTACCTCAGCCCCCTCCCTGCCTCTCAGTGTGACTGACCACACACCAGCCTCCTTCTCTGGAGAGTGGGGGAAAGATGCCCACAAAGACAGCCCTGGGATCAGGAAGGAGCCTTGACGTCACCCGCTCCACCTGTGCAAGAGCGTGACTCCCGTCCTGACCAGTCACCAGACCCAGTTCCATCACCTCTGGCTTTAGGGCAGACTGGGTTTGGTTTCTAAGTTGCAGAAGAGGAGTCCTGACGGATAAACAATCAAAAACCTTTATCTGTCCAGCTGCAAAGGGGTCGAGTCCAACAGCAAGAGTCACCGAGAGAGGGCTCAGTCCTTAGAATGTGCAAGGCCCAAACTCAACCAGCCCCATGAGGCAACATACACCAACGGAAGGACCAGGCAAGGCTCCCACACGAGGACAGGCGAGGCCCTGGAAAGGACGGGACGCTTGCCTTCTTGGCTGTCCGAGGCATCCTGGGCCCCTGCGTGTCCTTCTCTCTGGACTGCAGAATCTTCAGCTTCTTCTTTTCCCTAATCTGCTTCGCCAGCTGCCGGATCTCCGCCATTTCTTCGTCTTCGCTTTCGGACTCACTGTCATACTCTCCAGCCGCGGTTCTGAGCTCTTCTTCTTTTTCTAACTCTTCCAATTTCTTTAAAAAGAGTCATAATTAAACAAAGCCAGCAATGAAAACTCATCAATAGATGTAACAACCTTTACAGGAACCAGGACTCCCCCCCAAGCTGTCCAGGAGGCAGCAGACACTGGGGACAGGCTCACGTGGGCCCTGTCCACAGGCCACACAGCTCAGCGCCCGCAGTCAGGCCCCGGCACATGGACGAGGCGGCCGCACAGACTGCCCCGAGCCCTGAGCCAGCTCTTCTTTAGAAACCACCACTCCCAACCCCATGGCTCAGAAACGTGCCGACATCACTCCCCTCGCCCCCAGCAGGGACATGAAAGCATCTCTCTCCTGAAGAGCGAGAACACCAATGTGAACAGGTCCTGGGCCACCACAGCCCGTCTGCCCAGGAAAGTCCCAAACACAACAAACAAATCTTGACAGGAACCTACAGTCAAAGGGAGGGAGGCAGAGGGACAGGCCAGGGCAGGCCGACCACGGCCGCCTGAACCTGACTGAGGACACTGGACGCTGCACAGCCAGACAGAAGCAGAAGGCGGCCAGCAGGGGGCGCAGGGCTGGACGCACAGTTCCAGGGCAGCGTCAGAGAACCGAGGAGCAGATCTCGGGGGAATGAGGCAGCATGCACTGCACATACTTTGTACTTTTTAAAAGGTTGATTCAAGAGAGAAAGACAGGATGGCAACCACAGGAGAACACAGGGTCTGAGAAAGTTTTGTTTATGAAAAAAAGATGAGAACCTTGTGGACACACACTTGTCAGGAAACAGCAAACAGGGAGGAGATGAAACTGGAGGAGGACGTGGGCGATGGGGCAGGATGGGGGGTGGACAAGGTGCAGGCAGGGGTGAGGGCGCCCACACCCGGGACGCCTCACACGGAGCAGGAGGCCCAGGAGGGACAAAGTCCAGCCGGCCGGCATGCAGACCCCGGAGGCAGAGCCCGGGCTCGCTCCTCAGCGGGACCGGCCATCGGGATCGGGGACGGAAGGGAGGCTCGGGCGCAGGAGGGACAAGGGACCCCCCCCCCCCCCGACGAGGTGAGCGTGACGCCGTGCTTGCACCTCCGTGGTCAACGAAAAGGGACAAGGCACAGACG